TTAAAACTTAAAATCTAAAAGGGGTGTTTGTAAAAAAAAAAAAAAAAAAAAAACTTATATTCTAAAATGATTAAGAATCTTATATTATTTTATATTATATTTCCAAAAAGTGTAGTTATCCATCCGAATTATTTTTGGTGGTACTCGGTATCTTATCTCACCCACACAATAGGAAAAAGAAATGCCCGAGTCTGATTTGTTTGATCAAGGAAAGTTCCTATTCATTGTCTGTTTTGGTAAGATAATGACCCATTTGGATTTACTAATTAAAAGACTGCATAAATATATACACACATATAAATATATAATGTCGCAAGTTGCATATACATTAATTTGAAACTAGTACAATTAATGCTGGGTACTCTGTTCCCATGTTTGACTTTGTACCATGAATTTCATGTTCATAAGTCCATGATCATCGGCAGCCACGGTTGCAAATGATCAAATTATTTTCAGTCATCAGTCGAGCAGACTTATTAATCGGTCAAGTACTATTGGCTATTGCTTTTCGTTATTAATCATCACCTCTAGCGAAGTTGGGCTTGGCGAATTTTGCCGGTAGTCAACATTGGGGACATAACTATTACATAAAATATCATAGTTAAAAAATATTTAAAAAACGTAAAAATAATAAATATATACCTGAAAAATCATAAAACGTCTTACAAAATCTAAAATATTGAATAACGCATAAAAATATGAACATAATTTTAGTTAAAATACAAAACTTAAAAAAAGATGTCATTGTGATATATTTTATAATAGTTTTAGTACTCATAAAAAAAATCAATCTAACTTTAAAAACCATAACATATTACCTAAATATCTTGTAAACATTCGTTTAGTTTACAAGTAGGGAAAACTCATGTTGACCAATTGAATTGCTGTCAACGTGAAAAAGGAGAGATTATTAGCAGTGATCTTTTGTAATTAGATGGAACTAAGGGGAAAATAACTAAAATGGAGAATATTAATTAAATAGAAGCAATATTTAAAGACTGGTCATGGTCGGTCTTGATGAGAAAAATTACCGCAAATCAAACAAAATATGTTTTCTGTTAATCTATTTTTAGTTGGCTTAATTTTATTGGTTTGAAATGTTAAGATATATTAAATCAAATCAAATCATATACAATCGGTTTAGTCGGTTTAGAGTACTTACAGTTATTATAATCATTGACCTGTGAATACTTTAAGTCGGTCTTTTCAAATTAGCTATTAATTTTTCAGAATATTTATTACGAAAAGTGAATTTGACAATTGGTTTTAACGGTCATCAAATCATCAGAGTATTGTGCAAGTGTGACACATTGAAGATTGTTTCTTTGAAAATGCACTTTGATGAAATTTTCAACGAAAAAAGTCATTGAATTTGACATATATCTTGATTATTTCTATCAGTACAATTGACAGATGTACTTTATAAAAAAAATTGATAGAATTTATTCTTAAAATGTATCAATTTAAATTTTTATTTTATACTCTTGATTAATACCTTTTATTTAATATAATTATTTGATTAAAAATAATATAATTTAAGAATATAAGGTAAAATTCCACACTTAATTTTCTCATAACAAGGTTATTTTTTTTCTAGTTTTCCCACTCGTGCCTTATCTCGCGCGTGTAAGTTCAAAAAGCCCAAATTTCGTAGAATTAAATCTTGATTATTTCTATCAGTACAATTGACAGATGTACTTTATAAAAAAAATTGATAGAATTTATTCTTAAAATGTATCAATTTAGATTTTTACTTTATACTCTTGATTAATACCTTTTATTTAATATAATTATTTAATTAAAAATAATATAATTTAAGAATATAAGGTAAAATTCCACACTTAATTTTCTCATAACAAGGTTATTTTTTTTCTAGTTTTCCCACTCGTGCCTTATCTCGCGCGTGTAAGTTCAAAAAGCCCAAATTTCGTAGAATTAAACCCAGTAAACAACTAATTGCATTTATAGTACCAATAAAAACCACAATTCCCTAAATTAAAGACATATTGAAAATTGATATCTTCTCGTTAAGAGTTGCCATATACACATCTTCTCAAGCTAGTGTGGGGGATCTTTCTCATTATGATAATGAAATACTTAAAAGATGCCGATTAGAAAGGCAAAGCTAAAGCTTTATTAATAAGGGCTAGCCTTGCTTGTTCAATACTATTTCCTGGTCATTCAATGATCTTTAGTTATTATTAAGGTCTAATTTATTTTACCGATTTGAGTTTTCAATTTTAAGTTTTTACAGTTAAAAGTTCTCAGAAAATATCACATTTAACTTTTTCTGCTACAGTTAAAAACTCTTAAGAAATGTCACATCTCAACTCAAATTGAAAATTCAAATTCATAAAGTGAACAAGGCCTCAGTTTGGTATGTCTCCGCCTTGTGTCCATAATTCCATATCGTCAATCCATGATTATGCCATGGGCTTAGTTCAGATGTTCATTCTTTAGTTGATATTCCGGGTATGTGGCAATGCATGAAAAAGTATTCACCGTAATTTCCATATCTTTTGTTGATAGTACTACTAGCTATTGACTCAAAGTGCAATACGCGTCCGGTAATCTAACTCTAACGAAATGTTCAAATATTTTCTCTGTGAGCGTGGCGCCTAGTTACAAACTCCATATGATTCAGCAGGTGCCATATAGCTTCATGCATTAGCAACATTTTCGCTGTACACAAATCCAGATATAAAACTATCTAAATTTTTAAGGATTAGAATGTCAAACTGCGTGAAGCATGCCTTATATTTATATATATATATATATATATTACATTAAAAAGATAGACATTCAAACATATTTATCGATTCAATATAAGCTCAAAGAAGTGAATATGAATCTCAAATAATGAGAGATATGTAAAAAGCAGCTCTAATTACGCATATTCCTAATTCCATATTAGTATACACAAAAACCATCAAAATTGATCAATAATCCTTGCTACCACCTACAAGAGCATTGAGGAAGCTGAGGTCTAGGTTGGGAATATTCCTTCTTGATCTCCTCATTACATCGTTGTTGCAAGTTAGGGCGGACGACGTTTGATTCGTGAATTCAGAATCACAATTCAAAATTATTCTCATTTTACGTGTATTTTTTATGAGAGAAAATAATGTAGCGAGCCATAAACCATAATTCGAACCATGACACGAATCTCCCTTCTAAACAAATAATAAAAGGTTTAGGCCCGATCATGATCGGTTGATGATGTGGACCTGACCACGTTGGGCGGATTGGGAGTTTTTTTTTTCTTTTTCTAGATATGTTTGTTGGGAATGATGTTCTAAAAATATGAGATGTAATATGTTATTTATTATTAATTTAATAAAAGAGTTTATTCGTGCATATATTATTGAATATTTTATGAATATCATTGAAAATTTCATGATAATTTATATGGTCGTAAATATTGTATATAAATGTTATATACGAGAGGATAATATTTAAGAATAATAATCAAAACAATGTTCGTAATGAATTTAATTAAAGTTCAGAATCTTTAATTAAAACATTACTAATACATGTCATTCCCATTCGGAATGGAACGGCGTTATGCGCATTGTTAATATGACGAGATATTAAATGAGTGTGTTACGCATAATGAGATTATGTGGAATCGGGACACAGACACAATATGAATTTTTGATCATTTTCGTTAAATATAAAAATTCTAATTGAGTTTACCGATAGTCATATATAGAACAATCTTAATTCTGAGTTATTAGCAGACTATTATTTGTGGATTTGTGTCTTTTGACTTACTCAGTACGGATTTTGAGATTGTTAAATTCTATTCCTTGTATCTTGGAGATATGATGAAGTGGGTAG